TTAGTGAGTCTGTCTCTTCCTACTTTGTTTTTTTTGGTCAAAAACTTACTACTATTCTACTATCCTCAAAAACTCTTTGTGTTGGTCTTAGCATCGTGCGTGTGTGTGTGTGTGTGTGTCCCTCAACACACATGAAAGTTTATATTTCCTGGTAATTTATTTTATACTTTTATTCTCCTCATGTATTTGTCTCCCATATTTTTGTGTTTCCCCCTTAACTGTTTGACCATTTACTTATTTATTCATAGCGAATGGATATCTATTGATGACCTGCCATTTCTGTTCTATGCTAGGTGATGGCAGCTCCGCATCATGATACAACTGCCTTTGAGGAGCACGTGAACTAGGAGAGAAGGCACAGATCAGCAAGCACAAAGGTGTGGAGAGAATCACTATAACCAAGGAGCACAAAGGTGGGGATACCAAACTCACACTGAAAAGTCAGCAAAAGTACTTGAGAGGATATGATAGCTGCACTAAGTCTGAAAGCAGAGGCTGTAGGATGTATGTGTGGGCACATGGACTTCTGTGGGTGCCATCTCCTTTTTTGTCACCAGAATCACTAGTGACATCTTAGGTTTTTTTAATTGTTGAAAGTATTACAGATGTCCCCCATTTTTCCCCATTGATCCCCTCCTTCCCATTCCTGCCCCTTCTGCCTTCTCCAGCCTAGTGTCCGTATCGATTGGTTGTGCATATATGCATATAAGTTCTTTGGTTTATTTCTTCCCACCGCTCCCACCCCCATCCCTCTGAGGTTTGTCAGTCTGTTCTCTACTTTCATGATTCTGGATCTTTTTGTTCAAAAGCTTATTTCATTCATGATGTTTCACAAATAAGTGAGATCATGTTTACTTGTCTTTCTCTGACTGGCTCATTTCGCTTAGCATAATACTCTCCAGGTTCCTCCATGTCATTTCAAAGGGTAAGAGATCTCTCTTTTTTACAGCTGCATAGTACTCCATTGTGTATATGTACCACAGCTTTTTTATCCACTCATCTATTGATGGACACTTGTGCTGTTTCCAGATCTTAGCTGTTGTAGATAGTTCTGCTATGAACATAGGGGTGCATATATTTTTTCTGATTGATGTTTCAGGCTTCTTAGGATATATTCCTAGTAGTGGGATCACTAGGTCAAATGGCAGTTCCATTTTTAATTTTTTGAGGTAACACCATATTGTTTTCCACAGTGGCTGCACCAGTCTGCATTCCCACCAGCAGTGTGCTAGGGTACCATTTTCTCCACATCCTCGCCAGCACTTGTTTGAGGATTCGTTGATGGCTGCCATTCTGGCAGGTGTGAGTTGATATCTCGTAGTCATTTTAATTTCCATGCCTTCTGATGATTAGAGATGTTGAGCATTTTTTTATATATCTCCTGACCATTTGTATGTCCTGTTTGGAGAAGTGTCTATTCAGGTCCTCTGCCCATTTTTTAAATAGGATTGTTTGTCTTCCTTTTGTTGAGTTGTATGAGTACTCTATATAGTTTGGATATTAACACCTTATCTGATGTATCACTGGCAAATATGTTTTCCCGAAGAGGGGGTTCCTTTTTCATTTTGATGTTGGTTTCTTTTGCCATGCAGAAGCCTTTTAGTTTGATATAGTCCCATTTATTAATCTTTTTCTTTGTTTCTCTTGCCCTAAGCAATGTATCAGTGAAACATCTTGGCTTTTAAAGCCTACCATTTTGCCATCTTGATCAATTACTTCATTCACTCTTCTATCCATAAATATGTAAGAACCCACTCAGTGCCCTGGACTGTTAAATGCTGTCTTTTCTTTTAAAGACTCATGACATGGGCTTTCTCCCTCTCCATGATTTTTGGAAACTTAAAATCTGCTTTTCTAAAGTGCAAAGTACTCATCTGACCCTGCCCGTTGTTTCTTCCTTACCAACCGACAACTTTCAATGTTTAGGTTTTTTTTTCTTTCAAATTGTCAGTCAATATAACTGACTGAGCGCTTCCCGTGGGCACCACACTGAATGCTCTAGAAGGCACAGCGACGACTAAGACTCGGGCCCGTTCCACATGAAGCTTATACAATAATGGGGAATATACGTGCACAGAGAACACAATAAAGGGAATAAAATATACTCTCCTAAAGATAATTTATTTTAAAGATAGCAATTTCTGACTTAGTATTAAGTCCATAACAGAACCCCTTGGTTCTTCCTTAATCATGAGGGAGATGACAAGGTGAAGTACACTGTAAGGACAGAAAGTTTGAATTCGATTTTTTAAAATGTAAAAAAATCATATATATATTTTTTAAAGGCATCTTTGCATTTACAGCACATTTCAGGGGAAAAGATGCATGGATCAATCTGAGTACATCTCATAATTCAAAATTAATTCATTAGATCACCAAAATGTAATAGTGGTATTATCAATCAATTTAGATTTAAAATATTCAGTGGAACTACAGTGCCACCCATGGTTATCACTTTCTACATGAAATAGTTCTGAAATTTTGGGATAGTTTACAATGATCACGCATTACATTTATAATAGGAAAGAAACAATATGTTCATAAACATGAATGTATATGGAGCTTCCATTGTGCTAATTCTCTAGAAAAGTATCTGTCAGGCTCCTTTTTCAAAATTATGTATATATATATATATATAATTTAAAAGTTTGAAAAGTATGGAAAATAGAAAAAAAATCTCCTGTAAAACTAACACTACTGCTACTGATATTAGTGATGCGTTTCTTCTCTTTTTTTCTATCGGTGAGGTTGTTTTTATTTTTTTATTTTTCTATTTTTTATATCCCCACCTGAGGACATTTTTTCATTTTTTGTTTAGATAGAGTGAGAGGAAGAGAGAGAGAAATATCGACGTGAAAGGAACACATCGAGTGGCTGCCACCCACAAGACCCAACCAGGGCCAGGGACAAACTGCAGCCAAGGTACATGCCCTTAGAGGGAACCGAACCCAAGTCTCTCTGGACTGCAGGCCGACGCTCTAACCGCTGAGCAAAACCAGCCAGGGTGAGGTTGTTTTTAAATAATTAGATAGCAATATTTCTTAATAATATTTAACCAACAAGACGATTTTCTTAAAATGTGTCTAGTTCTATGTTTGGGCCCAGATGAAATGGTAGAATCCATGAATGTTTGCATGAAAAGATATTATCTTTTCTTAAGATCTTAAGATGATCTATCCAGAAATACCCAAACTCTCATATTATCTTCCAGTAAGGAAAATATTTATCTTCTATATTTACGGTCTTGTAGATGGGGTCATATTAAGAGTAATAATCCAGATTTTATTGGTACTTGTTCCCACCAGCTCACATAGGACCCTAATCTTCTAAAAAGTTTCCCCAAATTCTTTTGGAAGTTCAGATGATGTTTTACACATACCATGAGCAAAACCAGTTAACGGTCTAGTCAGCTATCATTGTCTTTCCTCTTCCCCTGCTCTGACCTCCGCAGGCTAGACACTGCCGAGCGCCCTGGCACCGCGCCCCAGGGTGCTGCAGTGGAGGTCCTGGCAGCTCTGGCATGTCAAGCAGTGCAGGGTCTGTGGAAAGAAACATGGAAGGTCCCCTTCTCCTTTCCTATGGGAGGGTCCCCCAGTAGTGTCATTTGTGTCTCATGTCTTACCAAATTTTTATTGAAATAGCTTATTAGGACTATACATAAACCCTTACTACTCAAAATGTGGACCCTGGACCAGCAGCATTTGGCGGAATTGTTGGAAATGCAGAATTTCAGGCCCTGTGAATCTGAATCTGCAGCTTAACAAGGGCCCCAGGTGATTTATATACAAATTACAGTTTGAGAAGCACCTTCTTAAAGCACCTTCCAGGAACTGAGGCATGAATTCTATTAGGGACAAGGGCAAAGTTGGGTCAAGAAACAAATGTGACAAATAAAAAGACTTTTTGTAATGATCTCTTTGCTTTGATGACCTTCTCTATGTGACTGGGCCAAACTTAGAATGTTTGGCTCCCTCTTTCAGGATAGCTGCCCCTTTGGAAACTCCCTTGCTCCTCACCGCCTCCTAGAGACAGACTTGGGGACCTGCCAAGTCTATTTCGGTTCTGCCATCCGTGGCTTAATCTAAGAACCCACTAGCCTATGGGAAATCACACTACTGCACATGTGAACTATGCTTTTATTTAATAAATTTTGATTCCACACCTATTATTTATAAAACACTTCATTATGGCCTGAGGGACTACCAAGATAAGTAAAACAATCTCTATTCTCAAAGGAGGCTAATAAAGAAGGTATATGATGAGGTAGGTAAAAACTTTTGGGAGACCATTTGAGAAAGGAGCCAAAAGGTTCCCAAGTGGGGCAGTCTTACCGCAGTGTGGAGAAACCATTACTACGTCTTATCCCTACAGCCTGCGTGGGCCTGTTCTGCAAGTGGAGCACCTTTTTCCCATTTCTGTTTCCCTACATTCCTACCACCTTCCAAGGCCAGTTTCAAATGCCAATTTATCAATGAAATCTGCAGTAATTCCCTCAGCTAAATATCCTTTAACACTTCAGGACTCCCATCATATCCTGTCTTAAGATCAATTATATGTGTTGCAGCCTTCGGGGGGTGGGGGGTATGTCTCTTACAGGCACATAATGCATTTTAGTCAGTCTTCTTAGATTCCCCATAGGACCTAGCATGATGTGCCATAAATAGTTTTCTAAAAAAGGAATAAATTAAAGCTAATGCATCTCCTCTGTTACTACTTCTCCATTCAGGAAGATCAGGCTGCTCAAACCATAGAGAAAACGTGAGAGAATACTCAACACTGGCTGGGGACATTTAAGAAAATTAACTCCTCACCCCCTCATCTTTTTCTCTGGTCAGATTGTTTTTCTCATGCAGAAACAATGTCTTCATTAGTAGAAGAGTAGCTATTAATCTCAGCTGAGTGGAATTGCATCTAGTTTTCAGCTGTATGAAAGTGGGCTGGCTAGCTGCCTATTTGTATTTAAGAAATCCATTAGTTTGATGGGTAGCACTGCTTCTGCCTGGTTTTCTCTGACGCTGAGATGGCCTCCCCGAGGCACAACCTCCTCTCTGAAGACTGTAGGGTTGCTATTAATCATGTGGCATCTTATGAGCTGCACATCAGTGATGCTTATTTATCTATGGTTAGTATGGGTTTTTGAGCCACTGGGACAGAGGTTTCGGCTCTGATCTTGATGATGTATCTTGTCTCCTCAGTAATGGTGGTGATGGCTATGTCTGTGGTGCAGTGAAAGATGAAAGAGCAACTTAGTGGCTAGGATTTGCTGCTTTGTGGCCTAATGATTTAGAGCTGTGATTGCAAACTATGGGCTCTGATGGGGAGAATCACAGTTCTTTCTCCCCATCAGAGCCCATAGTTTGCAAACTGTATGGACATCTGACACTGGTGGTAGACTGAAGAAATAATATGTCACCATATTCTATTTTAGAGCTAGTGTAGATATGTTAGGATTGATGAAATAGGTTGACTTTAAAATGTCACTTAATTTATGCTGGACTTATATCCAGTAATTAGGTAAACACAACAAAAGTGCTAGCATGTGGGGTTCACAAACCTGATCTTTAAAGAGGCCCTAATAGCATAAGATTAGGCCCCAGCATATTAGGATCTGGGTGGCTTCTCTTTGAGGTAGCCTGGGTTTGAAAGACAGCTGGGGCCTTCTGGAAGTCAAAGGACAAACTGAGGACCCCAGACTGAAAAATGAAGGCTTCTTTCAGACAACCACAGAGACAACAAAGTGAAGTTGCGTAAGATTCCCAGTCTTAAAAATCAGCTCGCCTCACCTCCAGTCTCTCCCTATTCTCATCCCTGTCCCAGGCCTGTTATTACAACCAAGACACGGGAGCACCTCTTTTTGCCTCATTCTTTGAAGACCAAGCTGAGGTGAAGAGGGAACATGCAAAGCAATTCCTAAGATATCTAAGAAAACGGGAGAGTAAAATCTGTCTTCCGGTGATAAAGGTGACTATGTAATTTGTCATGATGATGTTAATGGGGCCTTTGCTGAGTCTAGAGAACGAAATTATTAGTTGCTACCTAACTTGCTAGGTTAACCTTATTATACGTGAGGTTATAGTTACTGACTTTGAGGGCAAGCATGTGTCTTCTTTGTAGCCTCTTCCTATCAGTTTGAGTAAATTGAATCCACTAACTGCTTGTTCAGCTTTTCTCAGTGAGGCACATTTAGTGTGGTCTCTGGACCAGCAGCATTAGCATCACCTTGGAGCTCATTAGAAATGCAAATTCATGGACAAACTGAATCAGATTCTCTAGGGATAGTGTCCAAGGAGCTCTAGTTTAACAAGCTCTCCAGGCGATTCTAATGCTCTGTATCGTTTGAGAAGCACAAATGCAATGGCCTCTTCCTAGAATAGTTGACATCCTCTATCAGATCTTGAGTGTAATTCAGACGCATGTTCAGGTTTTTTAAATGACTGCCTCTTCAGTGTAGCAAAACTTTTTTCAGGGACGGACACTTAAAAGAACTAATCTAAACCTTAGTTGGGGATATTACATCTGGAAGCATTCCCTACTTACCTACTTAAGGGGTCTTTTTAACTCCAACTTTATAAAGAGACTAGTAAATGTCTGGTAGTAACAGAACTAAACCACCACCATGGAATTCCGAAGCTTTATCACTGTTAAATGGAATAGTGCCCATAACTGTGCCAGTGGTGCCCATGCTTTGTAAGCACATTACAATTATTTGGGGAGCTTTTTAAAATCCTGTTGCCGAGGTTGCACTCCATACCAATGAAGTCATAATGTCTGCGGTTGAAATCCAGAGATCAGGATTTAAGATGCTTGGTATTACATTGTACCACAAAGTTGAGAAACTATTGGGTCATACAAACTTAGTCATCGTCCAACCCAGGAAGTCGGGTATAACAAAGCTGTGCCCAAGGTGACTTCCCTGTTTCTCTCCAACAGAGGCCTGACATAGATAACTGGGGAACTGGAATACAAGCTCTAGAGTCTGCTCTGGAGTTGGAGAACAAGTTAACCAACCTCCTGCAAAACCTGAAGACCATGGCTTCTGCCAACGAGGAAACCGATGTAAGTAGTTAACTCGTTCTGAGAGCAGTGCCATCTTCTACTTCTGGATTATGACTGACTTCTGGGAGTAGATTGGAGTAGGAGCAGGGAGGTGCCCTGACTTCTGGGAGTAGATTGGAGTAGGAGTAGGGAGGTGCCCCGGTAAGAAGGAATGCAACTCAACACAAGATGAAGACTTCCCAGGGAAAACTCTCTGGATAATTAAACGAAATAACTTCAGTTGCTGGCCTTTAAATCTAGACAAGTGCTTAAATTTTAATGGGTACCTGAATCAACTAGAAGGCTTACTAAACAAACTGCTAGGCCCCACCTCCAGGGTTTCTGATTCAATTAGTTTCATGTGGTATCTAAGAATTTGCACTTCTAACAACTTCTCAGGTTATGATGCTGCTGGCCAGTACCCACACTTTGAGAATCACTGTCCTAGATGGTCCCTGCAAACTGAATGTTAATGGTGACTTATCCTATAGACTTCTCTGAAGTCTTCCTGGTTAACGGTGAACACTCTACCTTGCAGTGGTAACTTCCTTCTCACTAACCTCCCAGAATCTCAGGAAATCAAAGTGAGAAATGTCCTTATGTAAAAGTTATCAACCCTAGATGCACATTAGACTAGCTTAGGAGCTCTGAAGAGGTCCTAATGCCTGAGCCTTATGCCAGACCACTTAAATCTCAGTCTTTGGGAACTGTGTCTGGGCACCTACTTGAAATCACCATGTGATTTAAAAAGGCAGGGCGGGAAACCACTGTAGTAGTAGCTTGTTTAAATTAATCTGTACTTTTGATGAGATGCCCTAACACTTATACTCATTGAAAGGGGATATTCATATTCACCTGGAGGTTTGAAGTCTTAGATCAGTGCAGGTTCTGATCTGGTAGGTCTGGAGTGGGACTTCAGATTCTATATTTCTGACAAGCTCCTGGGCCTACAGCTCGATGAGCTACACTTTGGGTAGCAAGATTTTTTGATTGCCTCCTGTTGCAGACAAGGTGCTTAATGAGTCTTCCCCTGTTTTACTTCTATAGCTCTTACACTTCATGGGAAAGTACCTGGATAAACAGAAGAGGAACACAAACTACCTGGAGCAACAGCTTGCGTATCATAAGAGATTAGAACAGCAGGCCCAGGAGGAAGACCCTTTTAAAAAGCCTGCTCAAGTGTCAGGTAAAGAGACAGACGTCTGAAGGCAACAAAGCAGGTCTTCCATTGTAGTAGGTCCCCAAATCAGCTACTTAAGAATCTTAATTGTCTCCATTTGACAGAAGATGGCTTTCCTTCATTAGTGTGTGTACAAATAAACCTGTTTTTGCATTATAATTATGTGTAAAGAGATTGCTGTCAAGGCACAAAAAGGGCTTATTCCATCAATGTGAGTTTGGTGAAAGCTTCCTGAGGACAGTGGGTGCCTTAGACCTAAAAAAAAAAAAAAAAAAAAACCTACTCCCTTCTCTCATGATTCCAATTATTTTTAAAAAATTCAAGTTAATAAATGAGTTGAATATTCAAATAGACACAGCTAATCAAACAAGTGATGTTGAAGTAAACTAAAATTCTCAGCCAAAAGAATACAAAATAGTATTTTAAATTCGAAGACATGAAGTTCCAATGAAAGATCTAATTTAGAGCTCCAGGAGAAGCCAGAGTAGGAATGTATTGAAGACTGCTTTGTGAACTAGCCATTCCCCAGTGGTAACAGGCTCGCCATGGCAGTGATCCTCAAGAATGGGAGCTGTAGGGAAGGTATGGAGGTAGAGGTCATTATGTGCTGACTGGAGCCAGGGGGCTTGCCCTTCTCACTAGAATTAAGCACTAGACAAGGTTAGTTAATACCAGCTAGGCTACATTGGACCCCCATGTAGAAACCCATGTCCTTATGTTTCACAATTAAAACAATATTGTTCACAGTGAAGGTCTTCAGGTTAAAGCTCCGAGTTTAATTTTTGCATGTTCAAGTGGGTCTAGTCTGCTCAACTTAATTGTTCCCTTCAGCATTTTGTAGATTTTCTTTTCAATTTTCTCCTTTCATCTAACATTGATGAGAAAGCTGTTAGCAATATGGCAATTTTCATGCTTTTTAAGTGATCTCTTTTACAATAAGCTTTCTCATCCTTGATGCTCTAAAATTTTGCTGCAGTGGTTTTTTTTGTTTTTGTTTTTGTTTTTCACAAATACATAAAATATCTAGGAATAATTCTAACTACTATCTTGGGACCCATATGAAATTAAAAAAAAAAAACCTAAGAGAAAAATCTTTGAATAATAAAGGAAAGACTAAATATGAAAATTGTGACATCCCTCAAATGAATGTGTAGGGCTAAAGTAATTTTGGTTATAATCCCAACAGGATTCGTAGGGCGTGGACAACTTAGTGCTAAAGAATAGCTTCAATCATGGGGTAAACATGGGAACAAACATAAAACTTAACACCACTGGTCCTTGGAAAACCCAAACCCAGCCCACAATGACATACACAGTAGGGACAATGACAAACTAAAATAGCACCATAGGCTCCAAGGTGGTGAAACAAAAGCTCTCACATGTGAGAATGTAGAGGGGTATAACCACTTTGGAAAAAGGTACGGCACTTTTTTTTTAAAAATAAAACTAAGCATATACCTACTTCATGAATCTTGGGAGGACACAGTTCAGCCCACAACAAATGATGTTCTTGTTGACTAAAACTAGGTGGAGAAAATAGGTAGAAGAAATTTAAAGCTAATTCATTGATGTTTATAGTAGGAGCCATTAGATACTGAGTTAAAGAGGGTTAAAAGAGAAACATCTGTAACAAAAATAAATAAAATTTTTTAAAAATATAAAAAAAGGGTTCTAAGTATTATATAAAAGTCTAATTACAAAGGTAGTCATTAGAGAAAAACTATGAGTATCAGTTTTAAAAACAGCCCCACAGTGAAAATGTATATAAATGATGTTCAAATTTATTTTATTTTGTAACCCTTAACTTAGGCCTTGATTTAGTCCGAGGTTTGTTGGTAAACATAGTCAGTGTTCACCCCAGTCTGTTTGCTGCCGTTTCCCTTACCATCTTTCGGTTCAGTGAATTTTGTTCTTTGGGAGATGCTTCAGTAAGGCCTGATGTGGATAGTATTCGGAGTCCTTGAATTTGCAGAAATGTTTACCTATAGCTTTGACCCTTGAAGGACAGCTTAAATTTAAAATTTGGCTCAAACTGAATGGATCTGACAGGTATTGTTCCATTGCTGTCCAGCATTAACTGTAGCTGGGCCAACTTGGCCTCCTCTTCCTTAAGAACTACAGTGTCTTTGGCCAGATGCCCAAAGCTTGCTATTCATGTTAGTAGAACACCTCTGGTATTTGTAGGATATGTAGAAGTAGATACGTCTTAGCATTGATTGTTCTGGGGCAGTTTTTGCATACCTTGAATGCCTTTTAATATAAAATTAAAGTCTTATTCCAAACCATTTTTTAATGTTTGCTTTAATCCATTCTTCTAGTTTTCCTCCAATTGGAAGAACTCCAGTTATTCATATTTTTGATCATTTTTACCTATCTTTTTTATCTTTCATTTTCTCTTTTTAAAAATCTTTTTGCTCATTCCTTTTACTTTCTCAATGTGTCCTGTGTGTACACTGTCTTGCCCTACCTTCTATAGCTCTATTCCCCTTTTTGCTCCTTGTAACTTTAGTCTTTATTTACCAAATGAATTTATTTACAATAGCTTTTATTACAAAATAATTATCTGTTCCTTCTATTTCTTTCCTAAATTTTACTAGTCACTATTTCACATCTTATTGGCTGACCATCACCTTCCCTTTGTTGGCTATGTCTCCTCTGAGTATTTTTTTTTTTTAATTTTTTTTTTTTATCCTCACCCGAGGACATTCTTTCCATTTTTTGTTCAGGTAGAGTGGGGGGCAGAGAGAGGAACAGAGAGAGAGAGAGAAACATCGATGCGAAAGGGACACATCGAGTGGCTGCCACCCACACAACCGACCAGGGCCGGGGACAAACTGCAACCGAGGTACGTGCCCTTAGCGGGAACCGAACCCGGGTCTCTCAGGACCGCAGGCCGACACTCTAACTACTGAGCCAAACCGGCCAGGGCTCCTCTGAGTATTTTTTATTGTCTTTCTTCCTCGCTGTAATTGCATCATCATTGTATCCCCTTTATTCGTGTTAGAATGTTGTGTTGCAGTTTTTCTCTGCTTTGGAGCAATATTTTTCTATAGAGTATTCTCAGTCTATAGGGAAGTTTTGTATCTGTTTTTAGTTCTTTTTTCTCTCTCTCTCTCTCTCTCTCTCTCTCTCTCTCTCTCTCTCTCTTTCTCTCTCTCTCCCATTTGTTTTCCTAGAATAGCATTCTTTGGCTGTTGGTAGTTGCACAATTACTCTGTAAATCGTATTTGAGTGAGCTGGATATTTCTCAAGTAGAAGGAGAATCTTTTATATTTTTTGAGTTTATTTGAAGCAAACTGACCACACATGCCAGGGAGCAAGATCTCAAATGCTCCAGGAGGAGCTTTGGAGGAAAGGAAGGGTAGGTTTCCCAATTTCTCACCACAAGAGCGCCCTCTTCTGTTCCCATAATAAATGCCAATTATCGTTCCAAATCTCAACTAAATTTTAGATCTTGTCTTGGTTCACAAAGGCTCCTATCATCAATTTCAAATGTCTGTAGTATCTTCACCTCTTGTGAGCAAGCCACCTTCACCAAGGGGTCCACGCCTAATTTTCACTTTCTAACTCCTCTTTTAGAAGTGCTTTTCTCTACCATTTCCATGTGCATTCTAAACCCGTTTCCCAACTTTCCATTTGCACCTGCCCTCTTTGATCACAGCAGTTCTCACTGATAAGGGAGCCCCATCATTTTGCAAGTAATTACTGAGTTAATTTCTGATACCCAGCACTTCTAGGACTCAGCTGCACATCCTGTTCTCAGAACCACCCGCAGCCCTTGCATGGCTTCCTGAACTAAAACTGCTGACTTCAGATGCCCAGAACAGTTATCATCCAGGGTGCACAAAGAGAGAAGGAAAGACAACCAGTACTAATAGATATCATAAAGCACATACACTGAGATGTTCATTTCCTAAATGGAGCGATATCTCTTTAGGGCAGAAACCAATATCCTTTGTCTGCTAAAGAGGACTCGGGACTAGGACTGAGCTGGCAGAAGGCCCTCCTGGAACCATTAGGTACATAAATGCAAGAGGCAAGGCTTCATAAAGGATCATAAAGACAAACTAACTTGGAAGATGTCAGTTGATTTCATGACTCCAGAAAGGAAACTGTATTAGAAAAAATCAAAATCACTCAGCCTGGCCTGCTATCCTAGCCCATTCTCATCTACAGGAAATGCTTGCAAATTAATTATCCAGAAATCCCCAACTCAACACCGAGAAATGCAATAGAAGGAAGATGAAGGGAGAAAACTGCCACTGTATTTGTATAAATGCCCTTAGAGAAAAAGGAGGGGAAATAAAGCCCAATTATTAACATAAATACTTTGGCATGGAACAGTTGCAAACTGAAAACATTTTAATTTTAGCTAGTCTAGTGGGTGTATAGTACCTCCTAGTATTGTGGCTCTGCTGTTTGGAGTATTGTCCCAGATATCAAAAGTTTGCAGATTTGAATCCCAGTCAGAGCATGTACCTAGGTTGCAGGTTCAGTCCCTGGTTAGGGTGTGTACAGGCCACTGATCGATGTTTCTTTTGACCTGGAAACAAGGAGTAAGGAGCATCCTCTCTTAAAAAAAATATATCCTGCCCTGGCCGGTTTGGCTCAGCGGTTAGAGCGTTGGCCTGCGGTCCAGAGAGACCCAGGTTTGGTTCCCGCTAAGGGCATGTACCTGGATTGCAGTCTGTCCCCGGCCCTGGTTGGGTCATACGGATGGCAGCCACTCGATGTGTCCCTTTCACGTCGATGATTCTCTCTCTCTCTCTTCCTCCGCTCTATCTGAACAAAAAATAAAATGTCCTCGGGTGAGGATAAAATATATACATATATATATATATATATATCTCCTCGGTGAGGATTTAAAATTATTTTTTAAATTAAACTTAGGAAAGAATATCAGAATAACTTTCTTCTCAGCCTTCACCCTCCAGGGGCATAACTGAGCCTGATTAAGAGGAATATCACTAATGCAGTCTGAGAACAGCAACACAAACACTGAAGACCCTTCAGCATCCTGCCTGTTGGCATTAGAAATGTGAGTACTGAGTCACTGCATGCAGGTTTGCTGGTGCTGACAGGTCATTTTGCTACCATTATCATCTTACCTTAATCCTGAAAGATACAAGAGCAGTTATGCCTTTGCAAATTTCTGT